AACTATTTGGTAAGTCTCCGTCACTAATTTAATAATTTAATTTACTGACGTTTTTTGCCTGCTTCGCAGGCAAAAAACGTCAGCAAAATTAATTAGTGACGGACATTTGCCAAATAGTAGAGTGTCAACAACGTTGAAACGTTGATATGGTTTAGTAAAGTAGTGGAGTATAATACGTTAAATTAGCAAACACGTGTGCATGGTTATGAGGTATAAATTAATATATCGTGTATAGTATAGAAAAGTATTGTATCGGGCTTTTAAACTTATAATATCGGGTCCAATATTCATAAAATTTGATATTTAGAGTTTATAATGTTCGTTTGATAGTTTAAAAGCCCGAAGTCCAATATGGCTATTAAATAGCAAAATTCAACGATGTTTTTTTTTTTTAAAAAAAAAACCGCTTTTAAAAATGTCTATTAATGAATTGATGATACCTTCGAATGATATTAGTTTTAATGAGGAATCTATTCTATCGATTAGTAGCTCTTGAGGATGAAAAATTTTTTGAAGAAAATAATTCTTATAATAAAACTGATAAAGAAAAAATTTTTCTTGAAAAAAATAATTCTTTTAATGAAAACTTTGAGAATTTTGATATCAATGATATAGGCTTTTCGCGGGTTCTTTTTCCCAAGAAACTTCTAGATCTTCACCTGAAATAAAAAGTTCGGAAATATTTCTTACATTACATTCTATGTTACATTCAAAAAAAAAAATTGGATTTGTCAAAAAACAATTCACAAAGAACTTGGTAAACCAGCATAATTGCATGTGGGAAAAAAGTTTGAACCAATAACAATAGTTTTCGTATCGCTATAATAAAGCTATCTTGTAAAATCATAATTTGTGAGAGTATACATTCCCGCAAAATCTTCATTTTTTTAAACACTTCTAAATTCTTTTTGGGTTACTGTCACATATCATTATATTTTAATTACAGTAGAATTTTCGTGAGGTCACATATAATTAAATCCTTTACGACTATACTATTTTATATGTAATACATATTATGAGTATAGTATGCAAATTTTATATACTCAAATACGATTTTTGTAGCATACTCCACTACTTTATTAAATCATACTTTACTACTATTATAATACTGATGTATTATGGAGGTAAATCAGCTAAACAGTTAAAACTATACGTATTAGCAATATTTGTAAATTAATTATATTTAGAATTTTGTTAATGAAATTGATATCGTTTATTTTAATAGTAAAATTACTAAAAAGATTCAATGAATACAGTATTCCAATTTTTTTTATTAAAAGCACATCTGAATAATGTCGGGCCGATGTCAATCAAAATAGGTTGACGAACAAAAATTACTTGTTAAAAAGAAAACCCGCGGTTAAAAATTTTTCTTACATATATTATGCCTAAATGATATATATTACATATAATTTATGATCCATCATGCGTTTATCATTCGTCATGAGTTTGTCATGAATTTCATCATTCTTCATTTCGTAAACGTTACTAAAGGTGGATCGGCAGCTTTACAAGCAGTGGAAAGATTTAATTTCGAGAATCACATAAGGGAGCATAAACAAGCGATGTTAGTAGAAATGCCGCCCTGTCTTTCCATCAGAGTTAATTTTTTAACTAATGTTCTGTCCATGATTCTTAGAATAGACTTTGCAATAGCGAGGGATAAACCGGCGAGAATGAAAATTAATAGCTTCATAGTATTATTATTATTATTTGATTATTTTGCATTTTGTAATAAAATTTATTAATTAATTTTTTGTATAGTCAAATTTATAATAATTATATTGCAAATTTAAATGGATACACAGCTCTAACAGTTCGATATTTTAAACTTCGCAAAGACCAGTATTACGCCTCTACAAGCAAGCAACATGGTTAATTTTTTATTTAATTATTGTATGAAAAGATTTTAATCTACTACGTATGCTGTTTTAAGGTTATAAGAAAAGGATTCGGTTTATTTTTTTAAAGAAATGGCTCTTTAGAATTGTTAGTAGAAATATATTACCGGTCTTCGTGAAGTTTTATCCAAAACTATCGAACCGTTAGAACTGTACATCTATTTAAAATTTGCAACAATGTATTATCGTTATATATTTTTATAAATCATTATTACCTATGTAAAAATTGTTGATAAATTTTATTATATGTCCATAAGTGGTTTTGATTTATATAGTATATCAAACACCCCAATGTTGTACAGTTAAAACTTGGAACCTACTAACAACTAGAAAGTTTGAACCATCTTATTTACAAGCAAATCAGAGTTCAAAATTTATGAAATTTACTCTTAACTAAAATTTTAATTAATAATACAGTACATAATTTTTAACGTTTGGCACATCTTTACGTCTTGTGTTAATGATATGTTTCACTTTAGTGTAGATTAATTAATTTTCTGCCCTCTTTTTTTATTTTTTAATTTGGGACTAGAAAAGAACGTTTAAAGCTCTCTTGCTTGTAAGTTAGACATAATGCAAACTCAATTACTGCTTAAATACATGCATAACCTCCATAAATGTAATTATTTTATTCACCAAATATGCATTATCAAAAGCTTTTAGTCTGTACAAAAAGTATTTGAAAAGCTTTAATTTATATAAAATTTCAAATCCTATAATATTTTTTCTATGTTTGTTCATGATGATAATTGATTTAGAATGTTTATAATTTTTAACTGAATTGATATTCAATAATTTATTAGTCGTAATTGGCAAAAAAAAAAAAAAAGGGAAAAAGGAAAAAAGAAAAGGAAAAAAGAAAATTGCAAAATTCATATTAAATTGGTTTAGTATCATCTGCTTTTTCTTTTTTTCCAAATTTAGTGACGTCAACCACTTTCCAAACATCGCTTGGAAATACCGATTCATATGCGTAACGGATAGAATTATTCAAAACAAATCCACTTAAAAACAACAAAGCTGATGATAAATAACCCTCATCACAATATAGGTAAAAACTTATATATCCTACATGCAAATATAATTGAAACATTACAGGAAATACTATTGAATATGAAATTGCATGATCATAACTTTCCTCAGAAGTAGATTTAATAATAATATATATTGGTATAGATAATAAAGGTGAAATAAGACTAATCCATTGAAACCAATACATGCATCCGGTGGATATAACATGGTCTTTGAAATATGTTTAAATAATTAACTGAATAATAAAAATTGAAATCGGTGAAATAAGGATTATTGTTCCCAAAACATCATCCAAAATTCCTTTGAACGAGTAGTTAAAGCTTAAGGTGAAAACAAAAATAAATACAGCACAAAAAAAATACATAGCAATCAAACAATTGTAAATTAATCTAGGTAATTCTTCATTATTATTCGAAAAGAATCTGGTCGCCATAAATGTCATAAAAATGAATAATACCAGTAATTGTATATACACAGAGAAAAAATGGATGAAGAATCTTTTGACTTTAGCAAAGAAGGATTTATCTTCAGCTGAAGGTTTTGAAAAGCAAGTAAGAAATAAACCAGCGGAGAAGGATAAATAATTACCAAAAGCAACATGTGATACACTTTGAGTTATATTAGTACATAGGGTTGAAGCCGAAGATACTTTGATAAATAACAATAAAGCCAATACATATTTAATTATGCTTGTGAATTAACAAGCAGAATAATAAAAGCTTCAAGAAAAATTGCTGGTTTTTAAGCAATTAAAAAATTATTTAGACAGAAAAGTTGCTAAACTAGAAACTAAAAACATAGTTCCGAGTTTCAAAGAAGATCTCACAGCCCGATCATCTCACTACGTATAAGAGAATGACTTGCATTCAATTTTGCTCGGTCGATTGTTGCTATTACTATATGCGGTGTGATGATTATTTAGATGGTGGACTGGATTGTATTATATTTTCCTGAACAAAGGTTAGATCATGTACTCTTTCTTCGGCTTGTATTCTTTGTGCAGAATCTACGGTCAAAATTTTCTTACAATTCAGGAAAGGAAATTTTCATCCTGCCTTTTCATAAGATAATTATAACAAAGTACAATTGCAAGTCAGTTGCCATTTATATTGCTTTTTCAAGTGCTATGCTTTTAATTACAAAATTTAGGTCACATTAGGGTAATAAAAAGCTTCTTTTTTTTTTTTTTTTAACCTTTTATTGTTTTTTTAGCTAGATTTTCAAGTATGCTTATTTTTTCTTGATTAACTGATCGTTAAAGACATCGAATTGGAAATCATTTCTAAATTTAAACAAGATTAGTAGCTGTGCGTTATAGTCGCTAAAACCAGTAATAAGTAATACTTTAAGATACAGTTTAAAAATTTTTGATTTGAAAATATACAAGGTATATAGCATGATTAGTATTTATTTATTTTTGAATTAATGAGAATTCTGATTTACTTACTCATATTATAGTCACAGTGTTAAAAGTTATTGTTCTTGGCCCACCTGGCCTAATTTTATTAACCTAACATTTCACCATAAGTCGAGATATGTAATTAAGAAAAACCACGCATTACAAAGCATTACAAAGCACAAAGAATTCAGCCCCATAAATATGAAGTGTTCACAAATCATCTTGGTTGACTCAGAACTTAAATTCATTCACTGATAATAATATTTTTTAAGCAAAGGCTACTTATTAATATGTACATGTTATCCTTGTCGAACGATGATATCATTAATCTTGTTTCAAACAGTAAAAACAACGAACATGTTTTAAGTGCTTATCATTTTTCTAAAATGTTTTTATTATATTTGCTTCAATTATTATTATTAAATATAACATATAACAAATTTGCAGACTTTCTTTTTTGCAAATTTTAAAATATTAAAGCCTAACTAATATTAACGAGTTAATAAATAATTGGCTTATCAAATTCATATACAAATACAATAAACGACTTTTATTTATTTTTAAACTAGTAAATTGTATTAATGCTAAAAATTTTGAACTGGTTGTCTTATGTTTAAAAAATCTAATTTTCATTTGCATGTAAATATAAAATTTGAATATGAAAATTTTAAAATATCTTAATTTAAATGCAAACAGATTCTATATTTTATAATGACTAAGTAAATAATTTGAATAAATAAAAAGAAATTTTAATAATTCTTTTTTGAAAAAAATTCTAATTTTGTAATTTTCGTGTTTAATACTCGAATTTTAAACAGTGGTTAATACGTTTATATATATGTAGTATAGATTTGGGCAAGGTAATATGTAAGTAATAATTGCTTATTTCTTATCCAGTAAATACACTTACGTATTTTTTATCCTCATAATATATTGGCTATATTGAATTTTACTTCGTAAAATAATACAGCATGTAATAATATGTAAATAATTTTGCCATCTCTGGTGGCAATGCCAAATGGGTTCAATTAATTGAAGCGCGCCAAACAATTTTAAAGTTTAACCAACCAAAGAATTTTATGGAAAATGATCGTAACTTCAAGCTTTTTCAGGTTGATATAAACCTATTAGATGAGAGAATTGAGAATAATGTAGATAAAAATAAAATAAAAAATAAAACAAAGCTGTTATATAAAAAATTTTGAGAAATGATATATCAAGAATCATTAGCTATTCGAATGACATCACAGAAAAGTAATTTGTAATTCAAACTTTTTTTATTAGCAAAAAATATCGAGTTTGCCATTTAATTATACAACATATCATCTTTATTTTTTTTTATCCCTGGCTTAGCAAAAATTGCAATTAAACGAGTATTCAGAGAGATCGCTAAGAAACTTTGTCATGATCCTCATTCTTGACGTCATGAATTATTATTTTACTCCTTATACTAAAAGTTTTATAGAAAATAAATACCGTATTTGCGCGTAATAGCGGGCCCGGACGTTATTTTGAGCCATGGCCCGAATTAAGTTTAATTTAGGCCAAAATTCGAAATTACACCCCTGCGCGTTATTACGCGCAAATACGGTATGAGGAAGTGCGAAATAAAATTGCAGATGCCCGTTGCCTCTTAGTCTTCACTTATATGACAACAAATTCAATTATTCCAGCAATAATTACCTATTTGGTATAATAACCCAATATCGACGAAGACCTAAAATTAGTGAATTCTGAACTGAGCTTTTTCGTACTTAATTGAATTTTTTTATTTATTTTATTTTTATTAATTTTTCACAGTGACATTTGATAAATAGAATAAACTGCTCAAGTATTAATTATAAACTTTATTTTGATTGACTAGTTAATCACACTGAAGATAATGGTTGAGAAAATTCAATTACAACATTACTTGCATATTCAGGTAGTCAACAAAAAATTTCTATAAATACAAGTATAGCTGTGCAATATTGCGACATCAAGAATGAGGCTTGAGATCCAATATATTTAGATACATTGTTTGAGGAAATTAAACAAGATATTAAAATTCTTTCTATATAGATTTGCTCGCCATTTTAAGCTCAGCTCTCACAGCCACACACGATACCATAGCCTGCCCTGTATATTTGGTCTAGCCGTCATAATCTTGGTTTTCCACATTTGTTGCTTCTAATTCACTTATTAGATTAATTATCTAAATGGATAAGCTATTTTGTTTTGTTGGTACGTAGATCTGTTTTGTTAATATCAATATGTAATTGAAAATTAATTACTTTTTTGGTATCATGTTTAAAAATTTTTAAGAATTAAGTACGAACAAATTAAGAAATGCCCACCTTTTGATCTTTTTTTTTATTTCTATAAATTTTTTTCAATTTTTTATTTCTGCTCTCTTATACGCAATCTCTTTATAAAATTAAATAGTAGCATGCGCAATTCATTTTTCTAGCAATTCAACCCAATTATAATATTAAATAAATAAACCATTCCATGTTTCGCTCAACTATGTATAAATTGTTAAATTAGATTTGTATTTTGAAGGGTAAATCGGCCAATTTTTTCTCTTAGTATCGGTAAAAAAAAATCATTATTTAAAAATGCAAAATACATTATCGTTCAGACTTTACCTGTCTATCGGATTTTGATTAATTCTTGATCACTTAAATCTGTATTATTTATTATTAAATTAAAAAATTCAAAAAAACAATTATAAAAAATGAGTAATATAAAGAACTTACATAATTCTGAGATTGATCAGCTAGTTTTTAGCGAAAGTCAAAAATTTTAGACGTTAGTGCCTTTAATCAGATTTTTCATTAACTTTTAAAAGTACAGTCGAAATTTGCTAAAAAAAAAAAACATATTAGTCGAGTTGTATATGACACCAATCGAAAATTAAAGAAAACTAACAGTTAAAATGTATATTCGCTGTCATATTTCAGCTTTGAGCATTAAGATTTCCTACGCCAGTCATGGGAACTAGCATGTTTAATAAAGATTTTTTTTATTTGGTCACTAAATTCAAATTAAAGAGTTAGAGTTCGTAGTTGGAAGGAAGAAATGAGCTTTATATATATAATTTTATCCTATAGGCTTACACACGTGAACAAGTAGGTCTTCCTTTTTGGGTTTGTATCACTCGAACAAAATCAGTATCTACTGATCTATGTACTGTACGTATGTACGTACGGTGCAAAAAAATCCAAAAACCACAATCCTAAATTATTAGCATCAATAAAGTGTGTAAATAAATAAGTCGATAATTTAAAAAATATTTGATTTCAAAATGTGCTACTAAATTATACAATTATACGTTATATTAACTATGGAGAGATGGTCTGCTCGGCGTAATCAGGTAGCACATTGAAATCAAATGTTTCTTAAATTATCGACTCCAATAAAGTATTTATGTACACAATTTATTGATGCTTATAATTAAGGAAATAACTCTATAAGGAGATTGTGATTTTTAGATTTCTTGCACTGTACGTACCGTATGTACGTATGTCAAGCTTGATTTCGTTGATCGACAAGAATTCTAATTCTAATTCTAAATCAAAGATTAACTCTGCGTTACCACATTTGTATAGTTTCGTAAGATTGATATCATCGTGCCTTTCACATTTTTTTACCTTGCTTACGTGAATTTAGAACTTTATTCAAAAAAAATCATTAGGTATTTCATTCCAAAGTATCAAAAATTTAATATAAGAGCTTTGTGTCCATTAAAATAAATTGGTGAACTTATGAATGATATTTCTTACCAGTTAAAAAAAATCTGGAAATCG